GGTTATTCAATCGAAAGAGCTCAAACTCAGGACCGAAAAGTCCTGGGTTCACGCTCTAGTCAACGCCACTTTCTTTTTTTCTTTGCAGCATGATGAATGAGAAGGAAATTATGCTAGATGCTACAAGTTCTGCTTTCAAAGAAGACACTCCTGGCATACGACAAGGAGATGGAGAAAAAAGGGCACTAGAATTGGCCCAAAATGTAAGTCTAAGGAAGACCGAGAGTGCCATGGTCAACTTTCCCGTCCTTCTGACACAGTCTATGCTCAACTGATAATCAGCCATCACACGCTCTTGGTATACAGGTGGATGACACATACCCCTGAGCCTTACTTTAATCGGCCTGTTCCAATTCAATCAGGAAACAATTTTAGATTCTGCTATGAATACCGCGTATAGCAATGTAACTACTTCCGGTCGTTTGCGTTGGAGATATCAGTCAATCCGTGATAGCTTCGCGGACCTGATTAATGCTGAAATATGCGGCAGCTGCAACAAAATAAATTCTGGAGTTCATCGAACCAACCGACAAAATCCAACTCGAACACGAACAAAAAGTTGATAATTCATAGTTAGTAGGTAAACAGCTACAATAATCAAATGAATTAAAGAAAATAAGTTATGTACACATATCAAGTTCAGTAGTAGTAACTCTACCTAAGTCTTTTAGGATACGATGCATGGTTTCCCACCTCATTTCAGCAGTAGGCAGTTAATCTTGTCCCATGGAAAATTTGCGATGCACTACAATTTAATAAACACCAAAGAATTTCCGCCATCGTTTGGCAAAATGACGCATTAATTTAAATAGCATCCATTTCACCAGGTCAGAATCAATCAACCAAAACCAGTGTCATATGATATATAATCATCATGATATAACTAATGAGAGTAAGAACAGTCGGAAGACTGAACAGATTTACTAAACGAAGTGTTAAATTTAGCTGACACTGTAATAACGAAAATACAGGCAAGAATATGAGATTACAGCGAAGAATACAGAATCAGTCATCGGACTTTCGCGCTTTCGGTTTCTTCGGATTGCGGGAACGACTCTTCGATTTGCAAAGCGGACAAATCGGCGCATTTCGATGGATTTGCTGCTGACAACTTCCACAGATCTAAATATCATTATATATCATGGCATATTCCCTTTCTTTAGACAAGGTCTAGAGTACTTTCATTGGCGGAGGTTGCTGCTTACAAAATCCAGCTGCAGACGGAATGTCCATCTGCGACACAGACTGACAAGCAGCGCTGGCCTGTGGCTCACATAAGCCGGTCATCGCACTTCGACCGCTCCATTCGTCCTTTGCGTAACTGAAATTCTGAGGAAGCATCAGCGCGTCCACAGACCATGCACGAGGAAGACGAGAAGAGCTGTTTTGTTGTTCCAACTGCAGAAGACTGAAAAATTAACAGCCTATATGTAATACATACGTTAGAGGAAGAGACTTACGCTGACACATACTCCATATTTATAATATTTTCCGGCAAAGCTTCCTTGCCTAAATTCAACCTCAAAGAGTTGATTTCGTCCCGAAGCGGCAATATTTCAGCTAAAATATGACGTGCAGATTCCACAGCTCTTTGTTGTTCAACCTGAGTTTGCTTAATTGTCGTCTCGAGCTAAACAGTCACAATAGTTTATATGCAACAATAAAACAAACCAACTCATAATATCAAGAGTAACACTTTTTCTCCATAATTAAAACAATATCTGCATTTAGAAATATCACCACAAACGCACTGTAATCGACAAAACTTCATAATTTCTCACTAACACAACAGAAGGTATCTCTATTCTTCCGTCAATAATAACGTAGTCAAACAGCACTTACAGAATGTTGATCAGAGATAAAGAAACCACTAATAGAATTAAGGTAAAAATTCATAAAGTTGAGAAGGAATCAGTTCATTTAGTAAACTACACCGATAATAAGGGATAGGTAAAACAATGAAAGAAGCCTACTAAATGTGCCGTTGAAACGGTACTTCATACCAGGAAAAATGGCATACAGCTAAATGCTAAACAAAACACACTCTCCGCCGCTTGATAAAAAAAATATTTTCCAGTCACCAGTCATAGTATGAATGAAAAACTTCTCTCCCGGTTACAATCGGATAAAATTGGCTTTCTGAGACCAATCGCTGGGTTCACGTGTCTGGAAATAATCCAGGGATCGGACATTCGAGAGAGCCGCTGAAAATGTACAGCCGCTACTTATTCAGATTGAGAAGTCACAGCTGTTATGGTTCTGACTCCACAAAGGAAAGGAAGATAGCTACTATTTTTCAAACCGATCGATCGAATATCTCGGGGGTGGCCAAGAATCATCTATGGCAAGTGTATAAAAGAAATTTGCTGTAGACTCTGCCTATTTTTTTCCGAAACTCAAACGCTGGCAAAGTACTGAAAACGTCAGAGACATTCCCTGACGTGCGTGCTTGCGCTATCCGAAAAAATAAGAGCTCATCAAACCTGTCTAATTGACTGAGTGTTTCCCACCTCAACCAAAAAAAACAAGACTAAACAAAAACTTAAACGAATAAAAGAGAATACAAAAAATACATTACGCCTTTATTCCACAGTGAGATATTAATATTTTAATGGACTATTAGAAAAGACTAACATCAGTGATACCTGATTAATATCGCTGTTTATCTGACGAAGCTCTTCAACATGCGCCATTTTCTCTTGGGCTAACTGTTCTAGTTCCGCCTTATATTCGGCGAGGTAGTCGTCTTCCAAGCGACAGAATTTTACCTCCTTTAAAAATTTCGCTCTGATTTCTTCGAACCGCTCTAATTTAGTTCTAAACAAAAGAACACGACAAAAGACAGTGCACAAAATGCATAAACAACATTTCATGAAGCAGTGCAATCATTTAAAATAAACCCGTCACAAACTACCATGAAGAAGAATAAAACACAAATGAAATCTACATTCCTGATTCCAGGATTCAAAGTTGATTAACGGGAGAAGTTCGGTGAGCTGTTTGAGTCGAATTTCCACACGGCAAACAAAGTATTCTGGCAGACCATCAGCCGGCTCCGAGGTGAAAAGACGGGCAGTCTCAGAGTCTTGAAGGACAGATCTAGACACCCCTTTACCAAGGATGATCACATTCTTCGGCGACGACGGGAGTACTTTGAGGAACTCCTTATCCCCGCGCAACAGCAGGAACACTAGCCTGTAGAGCAGAAGGGTACGGATATTACTATCTCTGTAGATGAAATTGCAAAGGCTGTGAAAAGCTTCAAAAATAGAAAACCTCCTAGAATTGACAAAATCCGCCCTGAGATGTTCAAAGCATTAGGCGAACAAGCCATGTGCTGGCTAACACGTGTCTGTCAAACTGCGATGACTGCGGAAAAGACACCAGCGGACTGGAGAACG